CTCTCTCTCTCTCTCTCTCTCTCTCTCTCTCTCACACACACACACACACACACACACACACACCCCACTTGCACAATCAAATGCATTTTTTTTCTTGGCTTTGACAAGCATGTAGGATCTGAATTGCTGTATAATTGGTTAGGGAAATCGAAACTGAAGTTTGATATTCGGTCATACCAAGAGATGGTAGTAAGCCAAATGAAGCAAATGAGTGAGGATAATCAGCAGCTCATTTGGTTTAAGAACACAGCTGTCAAAGAACAGAAGCGGTCAGAAGTTCTAGAAAAGTCTCTTGCTGTGGTGGCTAAAAAGCTGTCCAAAACATTGGAGGAGAATCGAATAGTGAGACAAAGAACCAAAATGCATCATGAACAGAACAAAGAGGAGGTAATGTAAAAATGAATGCATTTGAACTTACTTTCAAAGATCCTTTGAGTAATTTGTAGCCAATATGGAAATTATTGATATATTTTGGGTGATCTTGAGGCAGACTTTGGTTTTGGATGTGCTTAAAATGACAAGTATTCGACTAAGAGGATCCATTATGTCTCTGCATCCATAGTCTATCCTATGAATGGGCTCCTATATATTTGTGATATTATCTGTGACTGATATTAGACAACAAATATAAGTGGGTCCAGTGTATCCCTGAATCTGTGGTCTATTCTACTTGTGCTCCTATATATTAGTGTTAATTTTTCTGATCTTTGTAAGTGAGATAGAATATTATGTTTATTGTACATCTCATGCTCCTCTATTTAGGTTTTAATCTGTGATCTTCATGAATCAGATGTGTCACATGATTACTTGTTTAACTTTTAATGGCACACCAATACCCTATTTCTCACTTTTTGTGGCTTCCCTTTTCATGAGAATATTATTTCTCAGTAGCAATTCATCTATGGCATCATCTAGTTTATTATAACAATTTGTCATAATATTGGATATTTCCTGTTGGCTAATTTATTTTGGTCAAATAAAACTCAAACAAATGCTTCAATTAGTCATCTGCCCACATTCACTTGCAAATCTGTTTCCACTTTGCATTTCCTATCAAGACATAAAGCTGAACAACACCTATTATTTGGTAACCGGGATGTATTCTTGTGTTAGGCCTGTGACAGTATTAAATTTTTCTGGTTATGTTCATATAATTGAAGGTTGGACTTCTCAATGCTCTTTAGTGCAAGGCTGTTACTTCATACGAGATAAAAAGCTTTCTTCAGGATGTCTTATAGATTAGGTGGCATTGAACTAAAGATATATTAAATCTTTAGGAATGGCCAATTCACATCCATATCATGCAAATAATGTTACCTGAGATGGACGAAAGAAATTCAGAAGCTTGTGTACAGAGCCAAATATTGCTCTACAAGATGATTTGGTTGACTTTTTTTCTATTCCCCGTATTTCCCTATGCTTTTTTTGGTCACATGTTAATAATGTTGGTGAAACTTTCTTCTGTCAGTCCTCTATACTGTATTACTGGCAATTTTTTATTTTTTTAAAATAGAAAAGTTGTATATCTCTTATTTGTCTCTTTATAGATGTAATTTCTTTGATACACGTTAATGTACCGTGACTTTGGTGTTTTCAGCGAATGTTTCTTATCATCAGTTGAATGTAATTTCTTCTTCTTTTTTTTTATCTTTTTTTTGTGGTCCTCTCTCTACAAACACGTTCATTGGTTGTGTGTGTATTCTTCTTCAGATGGACTTTCAAGAACAATTCTTCAAGGATCAGATCAAGATCATTCATGAAGCGCGAGATGCCAAGGAAGACAACTTTGAGAAGATTCAGCAGGATGAGCGTGAAAAGGTGAAACAATCCACTGGAAATCATACTTCTAACGAAGATTATCACGGCAGGTATTATGCCTATAATGGCGTCGTTCTTTCGTATCCATTTTACTGTTTTATTCGATTTTTTTTGTGGTAAAATTGCAAATCTGTATTGTATATCCTTAGGCTGGCTTGGTTGCCATTTTGTTGCTGTTTATTATAAGTTAATGGCTGTTGGTACTAGAAGCTGGAGAGCTTTCCAAAATTGAGGCTAAAAATCAAACCTTTGCCTTGGATAATTGCTTTTTAGATAATTACTTAGGTCATGTTGGGCAGTCGCACTTACGTGTTTGCATGTTCTGAATGTAGGGCCGAGGAAATTGCAAAATTTATCAAATTTCAGGATAAAGAGATTCAAGAATTTGTGGAAGAAAGGGAGAAGCTGATTAAAATTCATGGAGATAATATTGCTGAAATGAAGCGGAGGCATTGGGAGGAAGAACTTAAGCTAGAGGAGGAGTTTAATACTGAACTGAATCGGCTGATGGAAAAGTACACTCCACATCGCTCCGAGGACAGCGACAGCAACAATTAGTAATACGGTGAGATGTTCGGCGCGAGAGTGAGAGAGTACTTAAATACTCTAACTCCAAATTGCTGAGAAACTTGGAACATCCTTGAAGTTTCCTCCTTTGCTTTACAATACTTCCATAGCTGGAAAAGAAAAAGCTCCTTCAACTATTTCGTAGCAAATGTACTCCGACTTTTGTCTGATGATGCTTTGAATGGTGGTTTTGATAATTCTGGTGGAATTTATCTGGTTTACTTTTTATTGGTTTGTGATGGTTATCTTTCTTCATCATTTTATGGAGAAATCATTCTTTCCTATAATTGTTCGTTTTGCAAGGTGCATACATTCTCCGAGTGGCAGAACTAGGCGGATTTGAGTCGTTAAAGTTTAATGTCAATTTTGTTGAGTTCAATCGTCAATGTTAAAGTAGGACTCGAGAATTTCCTTGTACGAAACCCTTGTCTGGATTGCACTTTTAGGAATGACATCATTTTGGGAAAGTGAGGTCTATGACTAAGAAGTCTGACCACTTGCCCTTGTCATGGGTAATCTCATTGTAGTAGAAGTTCCTTCAATTGGTACCAGAAAGAAACCCAGCTTTAACGAGTTTGGCTGTCCGAATCCGGCTTGTATATTATTGCTATGTGGTTAATTTCAAAAAAGTTTCGAATGAAATTTCAACTAAACTTTTAAGTAGGCATGTGTAAAACTTTGGCCACCAGAATGACTTCCAAGTTCACTACTAAGTTTCTAAGAAACATGCAAAAAGTCCAAGTAAATGTCATGCTGGGTCACCTGATAAAACAATAAATTATAGGTGAGACGTGTCACTACCACCTTTTTTCGAGAAGTATGTCGATCCCTAGCATACATCAGAAAAAGAAAACTAAAAGAAAAATAGAGTAGAACAGTTCCGAAAAAACTAACATCAGAAACTACAAACTAAATTATTGCAAGAACCCAGATAGTTGCTTAATGAAATGAGTTTATCACTTTTCTATCCAACAACTGTAGTTTAAATGATAATGACCAAAATCTCTCCCCCTACCCAGCCACGAGTTCCAAAAACATGCGGTAACAAGCAAAAAACATTACGCACTTCGTGAAGTATCATTGTACTGTTAACACACTTAACTAATAAAACAATTGGACAATATATATTTTTTGAAAAGTAATTACACAGAAATATATTACTCGAAAGTGCTTCACAGTTTGTGATGCAATACAAACTGCTCAGTTAGTTTTCTTCTCATCTTCCTTGACAGCTGTCATATCGGCATCACTAGAGGACTGATCATCCTCACCACCAAAACCGAACTCATTTACCCGTTTCCGGTCTACTGGGTAGACCCATCTCTGATATACATATATCAGAAATATTATATCTGCAAGGCAAACAGAAAACACTCGATGAAACAAGCAAATGAAGGAAGAAAACAGGATGATTCAACAAGTGGATGGGAACCAATTCACCTACAAGTCGAAAGTGCCAATTAAGTTTAGCTCTTTGTGACAATTTCTGAGGGAAGATTAAAATTCTTCTCTAATTCACCGTATCACTTTATTATTCAGCATGAGAGTCATCATATTCTTGCAAGCTTTAAGCCCAACAAAAACTGGATAATTTATCAAAAACTAGGGTGACAAGTTCTATTAGTGCAACATAAATGACCTCAATGCCTATTACCCCATCAAGAGCATACAAAAATTTGCTAGTCTTCCACATCATCAAACACAATATTAACTCATGGGAAAAATGGATCTTACAGGATCCAAATACTTGAGATACCCGAACCCAGCAAAAGGTTTAAGCAAGTGACATCTGCATGCTATGCAAAATTTAGGGAGGGAGTTGGATTACTTATGAGGTTTGAATCAGGAATCGTAAAAGAAACAAAGCTGAGGCTGGTGCATCATCATTTGCTCTACATGAGCTAACTCAACTTCAACTGAGGTGATGAAAACTCATAATCAGAGCCCAATGTAGCACACTTCTATTCAAGCCTTCATTTGATGTATTAACTCAAACAAGTTATCTCTAATAAATATAAAGAAGACCATTGATCATAACCTACCATCACGGAAGACAGAAAGCCGATGTAGTAGTGGCATTTTTATCACGAAGGCAAAGAGATCATCGATGATTGTATTAAGAAATTTGTATGTCATTTGCCTCCAAGGTAGATGGGCAACAGACTTCAGCTTATAGTTGATGAATAGTTGTGGACACATCATAATGAAACCTGTAATATAAAAATGAAAATAAGAAAAACATAAATCAATCAAACAGGTGTTACCTTTACTACCCCAAAGAAAAATGATCAACAAAAAACTAGTTATCCGAGGGGGAAAACATCAATGACCCAAAACCATCACATTTTGAGGAGTCAATGATAAACCTTGTCCAATGTCCAAGTAGTTAGACTCATCATATAATTTTCACTTTACTTCTATTGATCTCCGAAAATCTTGAATATAGTTATTCTAATGACAGCGCAAGTAAACAAGGGATCCTGTAGAATAGGCTCAGAAGGATGACAAAGTAAAATGTCCCTTGACCAAGCCAGGCTTTACCTCTAAAGGAACTGCAAATATAAAGATCAAAATTCTGTTTAATATGCTATTAATACGTCAAGATTCCAAAATGTCAAATTCTAGGAGGCCAAGATTCCAAAGGTATGCTAAATATGCTTCTAACATACTAACAGGAATTTGTGCTTTATAATACCATAATCTGAAAAAAAAAAGGACAATCATAAAGTAATTAATTTATAGCTTTCCCACAGATGATGATGGGAGGAGTAGACTATGTACAAACCTAACCTTCAGCATATTTGACAAAAGGGTTGTTCTCATTGTACTAGTGTATCTAACATTATTTGGCCATGTTGTTATAATAACCATATGAGGCATAACACGCAGGATCAGATAACTTTAATCAAAACAAAGTTGAGCAGAAAAGGAATTAGGAATTATTAACAATGAAAAGACTCAAAAGTGATCTATACTGCAAACGAGTATGCCTCATTAGTTATAGAGTAAAAAAATTCATCTTAATATTATATATCTATAAAAAAGAAAAACAAAAAGAAAGCACGAGACAGAACAGAACAAAGAATATGGAAAAAGAAAAAATAAACAGCAGCAGTAGACAATGGAAGTATTCCATGGCTTACCAAACATGTAGACACAGCTTGTAAGTGATGAAAGAATCCAAGAGTACCAACTCTTGTGACGTTCATACTTGAGAGAGTAAATAGACGAGCAGGCAACAAGAAAGAAAAGCACATATGACAGATACTTCATTGCAATATCATCATACTCCTTTGTCTTGTTTCCAGAATATGACTCACGGTCACGGAACCTCAACATTGGTATCTTCCCAGATCTATCAATCTGAAAGAGAAAACAAATTTTCAACCTAACACACTCCAAAGTTTCATAAAACGTATGAAATTTGTGAGCATATCGTAAATTCAGAATTAATTCATAGGCAAGCAATAGAAGAAAGAAAACTAGAACAAAAGAAGGCTAGTTGTCTGCTCCCCATGCATCAAGAAATATGGCAAATGGAACAACCCATTCCAATGTTTTAAAATCCACAATAGGATCTCATGCGATTATGATCTATGCCAAAGCATATCATCTGAGAAGTCATGTGACACATGGATATCATATCCTTTCTCACCGCAGCCCACATCCTTGTCACCCCTTCCACTATCCTCAAAAGTTATTTCAATTTGATCAATATAACTACTACCAATACGATAATGGTTTTTCTTTCCGAGTGTGTATGTGCTTGTCTTTTTTTCTAGGTTTCGGAAAAAAAAAAGAGGGAAGGTAGGATGGAGAATTATTTTGCAGCTCACACTATGAATTCATGACCTAGTTTCACCATTATAAAAAACACCTCTAATATCCACATCCTAAAGAAGACACATACAACAAATATCGTCATTCTTTGGTAGCTTCGATTAATCAATTTTTCCTATTCTCTCACTTTTTCTTTGAAGAACAGCCAACAAGTGAACCAATTTCTTGTTTCAGCAACTGGCTACCAATTTGCTGCAGTGGAAGCCATTTCTTTCCTTAAACGATCCAATTGATTGTGGGTGGGTTTTTGGGAGATGGATTTTCCATCGCAAAAAAGAAGTCCTGAAAGTCCTTTGTCAAGGATATGCCCTTTTTCCTTTCCTTTCTTTCTTTTTTCCCCTACCCTTCTTCCTCATCCTTTAATAAGATTGGCTGCTTCCTGATCAAAGAAAAAAAATTAATAGGTGTAAATCCTACTCTGCTCCATTGCTGAACGTTTATTTTGCTCCCCAACCCTCCAAAAAAGAGAGGCATCTTCAAAAAATTGATTTGCATTTGTTCCTTCTGTAACTTAGGTGCCGTTTGGTAACTGTGTTTGTTTTTTTTTTTTTTTCACTTTTTGTAAAAAATAAATAAATAATGTGTTTGTGATGTGTTTTTGTTTTTATTTTAAGTCATATTGTTTTAAAAACAAGGTCCAAATCTATAAACACGAAAAATAATGTTTTTGAAGACATCCAAAAGTAAAAACACTCGTGTATCCCTCCCTATTTACAATTAATGAGGTCTAGTTTTCGAATTTCATTAGCAACAAAATGTAGTTTTTTTTTGCCAACTATAAAACCCCTTTTTCCTTTTTTTTTTTTCCGTCTCTTTCCCTCATTTGTCTCTCTCTCTCTCTCGCGTTTCTCTCTCCCACTCATCTCTCTTCTAAAAGCCAGTGACGAAGATGAAGAAGCCGAAGACAAAATCAAACACGAAAACGAAATTGAAGATGAAGACGAATCCTACATCGTCTCTCTTACTCGTTTCCCCCCTTTTCCTTAACTTTATACTATATATATACATAGATCTATGTATATATATATATACATAGATCTGTACATATATGCATATATAGGCATAGGTCTACATATATAACATCTACATGTATGTGTTTATTTGTGTTTGTGTGTGCATGTGTATGTGTGATGTATATAAAGATCTGTGTGTGTGTCTCTGTGTATCTTGTTTTTGTGGGCGTACAAAGCATCTTACTGTGAATGCGTGTGTGAACAAGAACCTCTTCAATTTTTTTTATCACAAAGAATATCTCCAATTGAAGTATTTGGGATTAAAATATTAATCAAAATAATATCAATAAAATATTACTCAAAATATATAATACCAAAAATATTATTTTTATAAAATTTTAAATATAAATAACTACCAAACATGTTTTATATTTTTAATTTTTATCATAAAAAAACATAAAAACAAAAACGTTACCAAACACACCCTTAGTTAATGAAAACAATGTTGTGAATGAGACAACGTACAACATAGAAACTCTACATAATTGTTGTTGTCAGTCCTGACATTGCTCAATAATTTGGTTAAAGCTCAGTCTGTCAAGCATAGAGCACAAATCAAAGTCTAAGGATAGGTGTACACTGCATTGGCGGCCAAAGGTCAAGTCTGTACAGAATTCTTCCCTTCCAGCACCCCAACACTGATTAGTGGATCTGATATTCATGAAATGAAATCACTCATGTTTTGCTTAAAGTCAAATGCTCTCTTGAAACTTTAAATAGACGGTTCATAATTTGAAACCATAAAGCATCAAATTGGAGTCCCATTGCATTCTTCACCGACCCCTCCTCAAAAAAGGACCCCTCCTCAAAAAAGGACAAAAAAGAAGTCGTCCCTCATAATGTTTTGTCGTGCTTATATACTCTTCACAATATTATTGAACAGTTTACTCACCTAGCATGCCATCATCTCCTATAAACTTTCACACTAAGACCTGGCAACACTTTCCAGTCTTAATCTGTCTTCAAATTTTTCTGCACTAGCAAATTTTCCTAAAAAAAGTTGAAGCTCCATGTTCCCCCAGTTCAGAAAGAATTTAGTCCTCTCAATAAACCTTCAGTATAACGGTGACTCTTTCTCGATGCGCTTCACTCAAGGTTTAAAGTTTCATTTATTTTATTCAAGGAAAATTTTCCATGTATGCCTCAAAACAGACTTGCTACTTTGTGAACTCCATCTCAATAAATCCGAATATTCTCCAATTATTCACATTACCAATTAGTAACTTTCTTTCAAAGAAATCAAGATGTCCTTCAAGTTATACTTTCGTGAAAGACAAGATTGATTAAGACATCCATTTAGGCTTGGAAATAGCATCTTCATTTTTCTTAGAATCTCTATCTTTGCTATTATCGCAGCCAAAAATTCTATTCTGCGTGGTTGGTTCTTCACAATTTTTACTATGACTGAACCTTAATAGCTTAATACCTACCTAAGGACAACAATATTCAGAAACAACTCTGCCTGTATAAGCGGCAGTTGTTGTAGTTCTGAGTCTTCTGACAACTTCATAAAAGAGCTAAATCATCTAAAAACATCAACTAGAATTTTTCTACAACTCTAACCTCTACCTTAAAAACTTAAAATAACTTTAACAGGTAAGTAGAAGTTATACCTCAATGTGCATGGCTTTCCCGATTTTCCAGAACTCAATGCAGCAACCAACCCCAGAACTTGCAAGTATCATCCATGAAGTATCATTGTCAAGTAGGTAGAGGAAGACAATGAGCTGACTAATAAAGCTAACAATAACCGACTTTGCAGATAGTCCTTCCATAGATTTGTTTTTATTCCAAAATTGAATATCTGGAGAGAAGTAAACATACTGAGATTATGAAAAATCTCATATTTCATAGTAAACATAATTAATAAAATGTAGCCAACTGCTGTTACCATTCTTGAAGGCCAAAAAGTCGAACACAGAATGAAGTAATGAAACAACCATTGTAATCACCAGGAGGTAAGGATTTCCTTCTAAGAATACCCTCTGTAAAAATGATAAAAAGTAATTCAGAAATAAAAAAGCAGATAAATGCATCAGCTCTAACATACCAGTAGTAAACAAAGTAAGAAGTGCGGCAAAAACGGTATACAATGATCCTTTTGTTCTCTTATGAATTTAACATCTAAAAAGCAGCCTGGATGTTCATGACAAAGAGAAGGAATCAAGTCACAAAGAACGCTCCCAATAAAATTCAAGAGCTCCAAAACAACATAATCAAATAAACCATAACAAAATCTAATACCTAGTGGATATTAGAGTAATTTGTTCGGCGAGAAGCACATAGCTAATGAATGATGAGTTATGCTTAGCATCAAAAACTTCCAATAGACGGACCAGGCTTTACTGAATTGCAGAAAGCATTTAAAAAATAAAAAATCTATCAGTGGTACATTTCAGATTCTAAGTTAGGCAATATTTGGCTCCACTAGAAAATTCAAAAGTTAAAAAGGAATAAAAAATTAAAAATTCAGACTTCAGAAGCATTAGAAAGACTTTGAAGCACTAAGATAGCCCAAGCTTGTCAAAAGGGAGGTAGATGAAGGCCTTGGATAAACCCCAAATCATTTTGAAGGACATTTGACTTTTCCAGACTAGAATTATAATCATTTCAAACCAGATTTGACAGTGTCTGGACCAATGTTACCTGGATTGTGAGGCACTTTAGTACGTGGTACAGGTACGGGTACATGGTACGACACATTCTTAGGTATGTGGTATGATGGGGGTAAGTTTAGCAGGTACGGTATTTTAGGTTGCAATTCGTTTTGGAACTCTTATGTAGATCGTTTTCACTACTATACAATATTTTTTTATTACAAAACATTCATCAAGACTAAGTTAGTTACCATTTATTTTATAATTGTGCTTGATTTTCTATTTTCTATAACAATATATAATTATAAATCTATATACATGAAGTCAATTAATATGTATTTTATATTTGTGCTACATGTTTTAAAACGAATTGATTTAGAGTTAGTATTGCAAATTGGGGTTGTCAATTTTGGTTATCTGGATCGCGAACCCATCACATTTCGGATCGATGTACCTAGATTGTGGGTTGTTAAGAGTTTAGTGAATTGTGGTAACCATGGTCAGGACATATACATTAAAGAAAATCGATGGTCCAGTATTTGTGTCAATTATGTGAATGAACACCATGGTTTACATTATCTTCTTGAGTCATGCAGCTAACACCAACAAAAATTCCCATCTGAAGGGAAATAAGTAAGATACCTTAAGTTCATCAGCCTCGCCTTCAAGCATGCTTCCATAACTGCGGTGAATCTGGAATGATTGATCAATCTGAAGGAATAGCTGCCACTTAGTCATGCTTATAGGACCCACCTCAAGATGCAGTGGCAATTCAGTCACTGTCTCATTGATCGGTATCAACTTGTCTTTAAGTAACCAAAATTCATTGAAAAAAATGGTCGGATAATAGTTCCCTGTTCTAGGTTCAACATTCAAGTCTATGGGATCAGTCAAGGAATTGAACAATACTAAGATTTCACAATCCTATGCTGTCTTTAATACAGAGTTGGAAGAGAAAAATTATCTCAATAAACCACAGTTTCCAATGGGCCAAAATTTCTAATTTTGGAGTGTCCCATGCATATGCAGATTTGGAAATTCTTTAACAGCATTTAACGGTTTCAGATTGTGTGATGCAAACCAAACATTAGACCAAACATAAAAGATTTTAGGTGTGATTCCTAGAATGCTTTTTCTTCCTCCTTTTCATTTTAGGAATTGGTATTTTTTGTATTTTTGTCTAATAATACTGACAAACCCATATCCCAAGCCGGATTTCATCGTGCCCCTCCCCTTTTGAGGGTAGCTTGGAGAAACTACCCAAGCTAACAAGAAGTGGTTCAAGGATTTCATTTTTGTTTTCGCCAACAATTTGACTCCTATTTTTGAGAGCTTTTCTTCCCAAAACCCTACGTCCATATAAAACTTTCTACTACCCTAATATCCACTATTGTTATGACTTATTTCATCAGCACTTTTGATGACATTGCAACAGCATATTACCTTAAAAATAAAGTCAAATTGGGGCCTTTGTCCATTTATAGCAACTAGTCCATCAAACTTGCAAGTGTGCCTCATTCTTAGCCCACCGACCATTGTTGGCATAGTTGTTAGTATCTTACGTATGTCTCAATACAATACCTGAAAGATACATATCTACGAATCGAATCGTTTCTAATCGTATCTTATGATACACGGGACATATTTGACGATATGTTTTGATACAGTGAAAACCGTTACGCACAATATCAAAATGACATCGTTTCACGAGGCTTTTTTTACCATAAACAACGTTCCTTCCATATATTTTATTGTTTTCTTTTTTGATTTGATCTCAAACAAATGAAGCTCTTATTAATCTTCTCATATTGTTTGTTTCTCCAGCATCTTATTCTTTTTCTTCTCATTCTCATTCAAACTGACAAAACCCTAAATATAATTCAATCTCTAAAATAAAACAACTGATTATTGGACATGCACAACACGAAATGATGAGTGAGATGAAATAATATTTATACTACTTCAGACACTACATTTACATATTTTTCGGTATTTGTAAGTGTATGTATACATACAAAATTTAAATTCAGAGTATCTTACGATACACGATTTATTACTTTTCACAAACAATACACCTTCCGATACACGTTTTGACAACCTCGATTGTCAAATATTCATGATGTCATATGCCACTGGTCTCCCGTTCGTACCATAACTAGAATATTGGATGTGATTATTATATCTTCTCTATTCATACAATGCACACAAAAAATCGTAAAAGACATCCTTTGATTGCTAAATCTAAAAAAAGACAATCATAACAAGGGTAGCAAAAATGTATGAAAAACGGTTCCATCTTAAGAGAGAGTGAATTTGTGGAGGGTTCAATAGGTGTTGGGAAGAATTAGGTTTTTTTTGCTACTATGATTTTGATTGAAGTTCTTTTAGCGATACGCAAAAACTTATTCGTATTGTAGAAAGGAACTACAAGAAAATTTTTGCTTTGGATATTGAATGGGATCATGCATTATGGCTTGAGAAAGGGCTTAGAGATGCGGCTACAAATGAAGGTAATGGGAGTTTTCTAAGAAAACTGCATGCATAGGATTATTTAGTATGGATTGAAGTGTTTACTAATGGTAGAGGTGTATTCTTCAATATTTCAATGCTGCATCATAATGGATAGAGAATGAGTTTGATGGTTCCTAAAGAGCCGAGAGGAGGACGGTGGCTTGATCTGGCTTCTGCGCTTAGAGATATGAGATTTGAGGGGCATAACAGTAACACTCGAGCCTCAGGTAAAACAGGGGTTGGCAATAACAGAGAACCCTCTGTTCAAAATTCTGGTGTGAATCATGGTAATGTAATTTCAAATGAAAATGATTAGATTATTGCAGGGGAGTGGAATAGAGCACTGGTATGCATAAGAGAGGGTATATTTGAAGTGTGGAACGACATTCGTATAGCCTTGGCAAAGAAAGTAAATTTTGATGTGCAATTGTTATCTTTTCAAGTTGACAGAGCAGTTATGCTTTGTGATTCTTCTAAGTTAGTAAATGAGATTTTTCAATAGGGGCAATGTAGGTTAAAAGGTAAATTTCTTGTTAAATTTGAAAGGTGGAAGCCTGAGTCAAATTCAGACCGTAGTAGAATTTCTTTCTGGGGGGTTGGATTGGTGTTGAAGGGCTGCCTTTCCACCTTTGGAAACGAGAAGTCTTTAAGAAAATTGGAGATTATTGTGGAGGTTTTGTTAATGTTGATTCACGTTCATTGAAAATGCAAAATTTGTTCATGGTTAAATTGAAGGTGAAAAGAGTTCCCTCTAGAATTATTCTGTCATCTCTGGATGTTAATCTTCAAGGGAAACTATATCATCTTAAAATTGAAAGCTCCCTCAAGGCTTGTAGGAGATGATGGTCAGAGTAGAAAAGGAGAAGTTCAAGAGGTAGTATGCAATTTTCATCCACCAGTCGAGAGGTTGAAGAAGACTATTCAAGTAAATTGGCATTATGTGGGACAAAGAAGGCTGAGGTTGTACAAACTTTCTGTGGTGCAAAAGGTAATGGCAAAGTTATTGGTTCAAAGATAGATGGAAAGGAGACATGTATTGGGCTGAGATTAATATTGAATAAATTTACCATTAATGACTCAACTGTTCAAGATAATGAAACATTTAATGCTAATTTTGAATTTCCAAAGAAAGGGATTTACTGATTTATGTTTGATTTAGCGGTAGATAAGTACAAGGACATGGGCTCTGTGGAAAAGGAAGGTATGGGCCAAAAAACATCAAAAGAAATGGTTAAAGTCCATTTAGGAAGTAATGGTGCTACTGGGCCGATGAGCAAATTTGTCAGGGCTTGACCATTGCAAGCGCACAATCCTTTTGGTGTTGGGTCTTTCTGCGTTGGGCCTTTAAAACAAAAGACCACTGATTGGTTCCAATTTAGGCCAAGTTTTAATCGACCTCTTGATCCATCTGGCAGGAGACTTTCTAGGTCTTCCATAGTCGATGTTCAGCACGCAAAGGTGACGTCTAAACAGGGAGCCATTCCTAGTGCTTCGTGCTTCATCTTTACAGTGATTGAAGGAGGATAGATCAAGTTTCTTAGAGTCACTACAGATTGATAAAGGGAAAGAACTGGTACAAAAATTTATCAAAGGACAGACGGGTTCTCAGGATATCAACGAAGAAAAGAGAGAGTTCTTGGAAGGGAGAGGAGCATCTGGGCTTCTCCTCCTCAATTTAAAGGAAGACAATTTTGATTGTTTCAATATTAATGAAGTTTGTTGTGGCGAAGAGGCATCCTCCAATTCAGAGAAAGAGGTTGAAGATAGCGGTGATGATGATTTTCAATATACTGTGGATGGGTCTAGAGTGGCTGAACTGTCATTGATGTGGGTAATTTGTTTAATGAGTGTAAAGTTGGATTTGATGTTAACGGGCCTAAATTATTGGCTAAACCAAGGGCTAGTCCAGGTAAGTTTTCTTGTCCTTCTTTTAGACGTAATTGGTCTGAAAAAACATCAAATTTTGATGTTGTCAATTCTGGGGAGTTTGGGGTTGAGCTTTCAAAGAATTGTGTGTGTGTGTGTGGGTCCTTCTCCTGGTTGCTGTGCTTTGAAATCTGATGATCTTGAGGGTGAATGTATAAAGGGTGATGCTAGGGGACTTGAAATTCCACTGAGGAGGATTTTTAATGCTGGTCTTGGGAAAGAAATATGTATTTTTGATAATAGGAAAGACACTAGGGGAATGATGGGAGACGGAAATCTGCAAAGTGATATACCTAAGTTGGTTCCTAATAAGTGCAACAAGATGTTATTGGGGAGTGAAGATGGGGCAGATGGAGATTGTTTGATGAAGTAAGTTGGGTTCGATTGAGATATTTCTAGTGAAAAATGGATCTTTCATTAATTCTTAATCGAAAAAAGGAAGGAAAAACAGTAAATGTAGTGGGGTGAGGAAGAGTAGAGGTTTGAAAAAGTTAAGAAATTTAGAATCTGGGGTGAATTATGAGAGTAGTTGTTCTAAGAGAGTTGGAGGGGGGTGTTAGTTGTCATAAGCTAGAATGTGCGCGAACTAGGGGATAGGAAGAAGAGAAGTTCCATTAAGGAGGTTGTGATCAAGGTGGATCCGAACATTGTAGTGCTGCAAGAGACTAAGAGGGAGGTGATTGATAAAAGAATTGTGCCTAATATTTGGGGACTCAGATATAAAGATTGGGCCCTTTTGCCTTCATGTGGTAAATCAGGGGGTGTGGTCATTGTCTGGGATGTGAGGATTGTGTCTACCTTAGATGTTGCAGGGAATTTTACTCTTTCAGTTCATTTTAGGAAGAATGATATGTTAGAGTGGTGGTTGTCTGGGGTTTATGGTCCAAATAGTAGTAGACTAAAGAAATGTTTTTGGGAAGAGTTAGTGGGGCTTTATGGTTTATGTGGCTCAAAGTGGTGGTGGGGGAGATTTTAATGTGGTGAGATATGTGACTAAGAAATCATTTGGGGGAAGGACAACTAGAAGTATTCATAATTTTAATGTTTTAATTAGGGAAACTAGTTTAAGGGATCCACCTTTAAGAAATGCTTCTTATACAAGGACTAATTTGGGGGAGAATATTATAGGTTGGATATGATTTTATTCTCACGAGAGTGGGAGAAGTGTTTTCCAAATGTAAGACAAGAAGTACTAGTCAGAGTTGTTTCAGATCATTTTCCTATTGTTTGAGATTTAAGTGCTTTTAAGTGGGGTCTGGATCCTTTTAGGTTTGATAATAAGTAGTTGGAGTATCATAGTTTTAAGAAAGATTTTCAGACTTGGTGGCAAGAGAGTGATGTTCAAGGATGGGAGGGATTTAAATTCATGAAGAAACTAAAATAGTAAAGCAAAAGGTCAAGGTTTGGAATAAAGAAATGTTTGCTGATGTAAGGTTGGAAAAGAATATGATTTTGAATTGTATCTCTACGCTTGATAGGCTAGAAGTGGTTGGAAACTTAAATGATCAATTGAGAAGGGAGATATTGGAATCAAGAAATAAGTATGAAGGGGTGGTGTTTAGAGAGGATATTAGTTGGAGGCAAAAGGTTAATGTTAGATGGGTAAGAGGGGGGATTACAATTCAAAGTTTTCATAAAGTGATTTCATGGAGAAGAAAAAAGAACATTATTAGTAAACTTGAAATTGGTAAGGGTTTGATAACTGAGGATGAAAGGTGAATTGAAGAGGAAATCATTAAATAGTTTAAAGATCTTTATTCTGCTCAAGAGGTTGTGAGGCGAAATTTATTAGGGTTAGAGTGGAGTCCTATTCGGGTAAATAAATACAGATGGTTGGAGAGACATTTTGAGGAGAAAAAAGTGAAAGATGTTGTTTGAGTGTTCTAGAGAAAAATCTCTTGGGTCGGATGGATTTTTTATGGCTTTGTTTCAAGATTTTTGGGAGGTTATCGGAGAGAAGTTAATGAAGGTTTTTAGGGAGTTTTATAATAATGGTGNTTTAATGTTTTAATTAGGGAAACTAGTTTAAGGGATCCACCTTTAAGAAATGCTTCTTATACAAGGACTAATTTGGGGGAGAATATTATAGGTTGGATATGATTTTATTCTCACGAGAGTGGGAGAAGTGTTTTCCAAATGTAAGACAAGAAGTACTAGTCAGAGTTGTTTCAGATCATTTTCCTATTGTTTGAGATTTAAGTGCTTTTAAGTGGGGTCTGGATCCTTTTAGGTTTGATAATAAGTAGTTGGAGTATCATAGTTTTAAGAAAGATTTTCAGACTTGGTGGCAAGAGAGTGATGTTCAAGGATGGGAGGGATTTAAATTCATGAAGAAACTAAAATAGTAAAGCAAAAGGTCAAGGTTTGGAATAAAGAAATGTTTGCTGATGTAAGGTTGGAAAAGAATATGATTTTGAATTGTATCTCTACGCTTGATAGGCTAGAAGTGGTTGGAAACTTAAATGATCAGTTGAGAAGGGAGATATTGGAATCAAGAAATAAGTATGAAGGGGTGGTGTTTAGAGAGGATATTAGTTGGAGGCAAAAGGTTAATGTTAGATGGGTAAGAGGGGGGATTACAATTCAAAGTTTTCATAAAGTGATTTCATGGAGAAGAAAAAAGAACATTATTAGTAAACTTGAAATTGGTAAGGGTTTGATAACTGAGGATGAAAGGTGAATTGAAGAGGAAATCATTAAATAGTTTAAAGATCTTTATTCTGCTCAAGAGGTTGTGAGGCGAAATTTATTAGGGTTAGAGTGGAGTCCTATTCGGGTAAATAAATACAGATGGTTGGAGAGACATTTTGAGGAGAAAAAAGTGAAAGATGTTGTTTGAGTGTTCTAGAGAAAAATCTCTTGGGTCGGATGGATTTTTTATGGCTTTGTTTCAAGATTTTTGGGAGGTTATCGGAGAGAAGTTAATGAAGGTTTTTAGGGAGTTTTATAATAATGGTGTGGTGAATGTGAAAACAAATGCTACTCTTATTTGCTTGATTTCAAAAAAAAAAAAATCATTGAAAATTGGGGATTTTAGACCAATAAGTTTGGTTACTAGTTTGTATAAGATCTTATCAAAAGTGTTGTCTATAAGATTGAAGCAAGTTTTAGGAGATACAATTTCGGGTAATTAGAGTGCACTTGTTATAGGAAGATAAATTTTAGACAGTGTTTTGGTGGCCAATTAAGTGTTTAAGTAGTATAAGGTGAAAGGTGAAGAAGGGGTTTTTTTAAGATTGACTTTGAAAAGGCTTGTAATCATGTAGAATGAGGATTCTTGATTTTGTGTTTAAAGCTAAAGGTTTTGGGAGTATATGGAAAAGATGGATTAGGGGTTCTTTATCCTCTATGAATTTTTCAATGGTGGTTAAGCCACACGGTAGATTTAATACCTCCAGGGGTTTGAGGCAGGGAGATCCGCTTTCACTATTTTTGTTTACTTTGGTGGTTGATGGATTAAGTAGATTGGTGAATAGAGGAATGAAGTATGGTTTAGTGGAAGGGTTTTTGGTGGGGGAAAATAGGGTTAGTGTTTCACACCTTCTGTTTGTGGATAACACTATTTTTTTTTTACTATCAAGAGATGAGCAAAAGTTCATGAATTTAGTTAACATTGTGAGGATTTTTAATTTAGTCTCGAGGTTGAAAGTGAATTTATCAAAGAGTTTAGTTGGGGGTATTAATGCTTCTAGAAGTAAGAGTGAAGATTTGGCTAGGGGGTTGGGTGGGAAATGAGTGAGTGGCCTTTAAAATATTTGGACCTTCCGTTGTGGAATCTGATTGTGGAGAGAGTACAAAACAGATTAGATGGATGGAAAAGAGTTGTTTGTCAAGAGGAGGGTGGCTTACTCTAATTCTTTTTTTTTTTTGGCTCATGTAAATTGAGATAAAGGAGATGAAAGATTAGTGTACTTACAAGTGTTTCTATGAGCGAGTAATCCTACTAACTACTTAAACTAAAAAAAGAAAGGAACCGAACTAATGTACTGTCCAGGTGACCTCTTGTGTGCTGTGTGAATTAGCCTCTTGCTCCTTGAGCACAATTCTTTTGACTACCTGCGGAAGGTGGTCGCGAAGAATAATTCCTTTCCTTTTCATGGAGAGTCCCCATTTTGCAAGAGCATGTGCAGCTTCATTGTCCTCTCTATACACGTGAGTCAAGCTCCATTCTTGATGTTGCTCCAGCAATTTCTTCGTATCCTTTGTGATTGTCTCGATAAGCCAAGGGACTTTAAAGCGAGGATTTGTTGCAGCCCATACCGATACTTGAGAATCACTTTCTATCCTTACATAATTCCATTCTTTTTTATGTGCCCACATTGTTGCCTCTCTAACTGCAGAAGCCTCCGCTACTAGGGGGTTTTCCTCCTTAACTGCCTTAACATATGCCTCCATGACTTGGCCTTGCCCATTCCTAGCAATTGCTGAGATCTAATTCAAGTGGTTTTGTATAGCATATGAAAAAAGTTGCTAAAATTTTGGAGAAGTTAATAAGAGATTTTTTGTGAAAAAGAAGTGAAAAAAGGTAGAAAGATCATATAGTTATATGAGAAGTTGTGTAAAAATCAAAACTTAAAAAGGGGTTGGGAATAGGCAATTTGATTAAGAGTAATGTGGCTTTACTGGGAAAATGGCTTTGGAGATTTCCGTTGGAATCTGAGTGAGACCTTGTGACATTCTATTATTAAAAGTATGAAATCCATGCTAATGGATAAGACTCTAATCTGGTGAGTAGATGATCATTTTGTAATCATTGGAAATGTATCTCTTAAGGTTTGGATGATTTTAGAAAGCACATTAGTCTGAGGGTGGGGAATGGGGACAGAATTCGTTTTTGGGATGATATTTGGATTGGTTAGTCACCTTTCGCTTTATTATTCCACCGGCTTTATCAATTCTCGGGTTCTCATAATGTTCATATAACAAGTTTGTTTTGTACTTCTCCCTTTCAAGGGGGCGACATTTCAACGTTCTTCGCAATCTTAATGATAGAGAAACTTTGGAGTTATCTTTTCTTCCTTTGCTTAATTCGGTTAAGATTTTGGCTCTTGATTCATCTTGAAATTTCAGTTGTAGTTCTTATTTTCAATATTTGATTGATGATCCTAATTATTCTTTCTTGGAACCTCATTTGATGATTTGAAAGGCTAAGGTATCTATTAAGGTGCTAGTGCTTGCTTGGATGATTGCTCACAGTAAGGTTAATACTTGCAATTTATTACAAAAGAGAAGACCCAACATTTTTCTTTCTCCGAATTGGTGTGTTTTTGTGTACAAAAAATTGTGAAATTATTGATAATTTGTTCCTTCATTGCCTTATTGCAATTTTTTGTGGCAAAAGCTTTTGTGTGGGAGGCATATTTGATGTAGGTG